TTTTCATTCTTGAATTCCAGACTAGATTTAGACTTTCTGTCAAGGGTGAATCAAGTGTTGATAGAAAGTMTAAAAATTTTGACTAGATGGTCTATTTTTGGTCTGTCTGTATGTCAAAAAGGAGACCATCTAGATTAATGGGAATGATGCATTGTTTCCCATTTTGTTGCACTTAATCATTCATATCAAGAATGCTATCTTTTACCTTCCACTGCGAAGCTGAACTACACATGAGTAAGGGTTTGAATTAAGGCATGACACATTTTAACTGTTGCAAAATGTACAGGGTTCCACAGATGGGCGGAACAGTAGCCTTAATTCAAACTAAAATGTGCAAGTTGTCACAAATAAAAAAGAAACAACAACAAGAAATAATAATTCCCATTTTTTGGAGATTTCCGAGCTCACTTTTGAAATTGGCTAAACAAAACCAATATTTGGACACTGCTACTACTAATATCATGGAATAACAAAATTGAAATTGGAATCAATTCCAACAATAGATAAACGGCCCTACTACTAGTAACTAGTGCTGGCACTGCTGTGGTCTACTAAGAATGCACTAACTACTACTATGACCCTCCTCCATTGAAGGATCTCCATTGGAGGAGAGGACAAAACTTCAGCAACTGGACCAACTACTGGACCAGCAAGCAATCCCATCACTCTCTAGAGCACATCAACTGGCATTTTGGAAGCAACTCCTCTCTCTTCTTTAGTCAAGCTTGCAAGGAGTGACAGTACATGGTTCTTCAATCTATCTAGTAGTATCTCCCTTCCATATGCATGTATGATGGTGCGACTACTACTACTACTACTGCTACTACTACTAATACTAATACTACTACTGTTAGTAATACTGGTGGTACTGAGGTGAAACTCATCATACTAGTACTGTGGAAAATTATGCTCATAATTCAACAGAAAAATAGTACCACAAATATCAATTTAATATCCAAGAACCAAGAAAATGGTATGTTTCGAATCAGCATTACTAAAATCTAAGCTAGACGGGCTACTCAAAAATTAAAATAGTAGTATTTCTGATAAAATTGCAACTGCTTAGAGAAGGTTGGAAACTTTAACTAGTATTATGCTTTAAAAAGAATGAGAATTTAAAAAATCCTGGGGTGATTTTTTGGAAATTTGGRCCACACATGGAATATGAGTTTCTCTTTTTTCTCACACTTCATGATGGAMAAAAATCTCGTTGCGCATCTCTCTATATTATGACCCCTGGGCTGGGGTAGAGGAAGTAAGAATCTCCCTATTCATGATGCATATTGCTGCTGTGTGTGAGCCCAAATCACAAGCATTKATCATGCTCTGGCTTAAATTATCACATCAGCAAATGGAACATCATTCCTGACCTTCCTCTCAGTTGTTTGCTTACCGCTAAAACCCATTTGATCATTATGACAGGCGCTTGCTGTGATGTACCTGATGTTTGGAGTTTGCAGTTGTTTGTGAAGATTGAGGACATTGATTCACTTTAGTCCTGAGCAGCTGGTGAAGAATTTAACTCTTCAGAGATGAGAACGAATGCACCCTTTGCATTGAATCTATTTKTGTCGCAAAATGTTTAATTCTGAACTCTCACCAATACGAAGCAAATAATAATCTATTCTAATCAAGTCATTCGACCAGTCGTTATCTATCATCTAAAACCGAAGTTGTGTTGCAGTAGCTGGGTTGAGGTTCTCTCGTTGCATGACAAAAAAGTCTCWCAAAAAGAATCGCATCCATGTTATTTACATTCCTCCCCCAGAAGTCTGTACTAGTTCCAAACCAATCAGGGAGATGGACCCCAGACCTAATGTCCCAAGCCCGAAGATACCACCCGGGATAATGTTTGAATTTTTGTCATTCGGGGTCGGCGTAGAAATTACAATTTCGGTACCAAAGTTTCCATTCTTGTTGGCTTGCCGTTGCTGCATCAATATCATCGAAACAGGAATGATACCATACAACATCGGAGAACCAAATCCTCCAGCAATTTGTAATGTTTCTGTAATGTCCGAGGAAAAGACCTGGGCTAGAATCATTGCAATTCCGACCGGCATGGCCACGCTCGGCAGCGAGAAGGTACCATCCTTGTTTTTGCCTCCCATTTCTTCAACGCTGTCATCACTTGTAGAAGCACCGAGCAGTATTTCGAATTCTTCCGACAGGGACATGGACCCACCCAAGGAGGACCCAGCTACCGTTRTAAGCGAAAAGCACGTCATCAAAGTTCCCAAGCTGTGTTCCGAAGTGATTCCACCACCGAGAACTGTGATGGTCCATGCCATGTACATCAGAAGTGGAATGAATGATCCAAACGTGAGTGCCGTTGCAACCTTCGTTCTATTGTAATCTAACAGCCGTGTGATTGTTGGCACAATGTTCTGGAAAACCAGGACCGAAATCACAACCGGTGCCATGCGAAGGACTCCATCCCCGATGTCTTCCGTTGGTAGCAACGGTGGCAACGAAAGGACCGACACGGGATCGGGAACATTCGCCAGACCAGGCAACAAAAGGCCCGCAAACGTTGCAAAAAGACCCACTACAAGAGTACTCGCAACTCGAGATAGATTTGTTAGGGATTGGGTGGAAACCAGAGCTACCAATAGTCCCGAATAAATGTAAGACAGCATCATTCCGTCCAACTGAATCGAGATAGGTAGTAGAGTGCTTCCTATTTGCCCCGCCTTGAAAACATCAAAAGCGACCACCAGTGTGTTGATGAAAACAGATGTCCCCGAAACCATGTTGGAAGCGCTCGGCAATGTTGCTTCAGCAAATTCCTTGAAGGAACTCGGGACTTCGCTTCCACTTGCTTCGTGCTCTTGAATCGCGACTTGTGCAATGGTGAGGCCGGAGGTAAGACACATCATCCAAGCTCCAACCATCACTCCAAACGTAAGCATAGGTCCTGGCCCTGCTGCAACTTCGGGCATTACCAACATTCCGGCTCCGACAGTGTTGCCGGTAACCATGAGCGATGCCATAGCCACTGGAAGGACAAACGAGTCCATCACAGAGGCGTCGGGAAGCGTTTGAATCGCTGATGTGCTGCTGGATGTGTCGTAATCCACAAGTTCGGAAGCGTAGGCCGATAACGACACTTGGTTTTGACTCTCTTCTCTGCGTCCTTGATGCTGCATGTTCAGCGATAGCAAGCTAGAATGTGATACAATTCTGTGACTATTTTGCTTTACAGTGGCCACACCACGAGGTGCCGTTGAAAACGCATGGCCATGTTCTGAAAAACATAGAAGACCTATTGTCAGTTCTACATAGATTGCGAAACTWGTTCTCATCGCCAGAAGATGTCGCTTTCCCTTGACTTTGCTCTCAGTATATTAATCTTTAAACTCCAAAAATTGAAGTCTATGTTTGTGTGTGTGGCGGAGCAAGGTCGTCGCAGTTCACAAATGCAGAGGAATMGCATACTCTACCTGTAGAACGTGAAATGGTTACAACTTCTTCTCCAAATTAGTATTGCCGGTATGCTGCGTGGTGTGTACGTGTGTGACGTACACAATTGATGAATACGAAGAAAAACCAAGGATGTAACAAAAGAATTCTGCAAAAGGTTCTGATGTTCTGGTGCTGGAACCRKATTGGAAGTTGTTGTTTTTGTTTTCGGCAAGAATGTTGCCATAGTGAACAAAAAAGGCAATTGATGTTCTGACGTTATGATGTGGGACTTTCCTTCCAGTAGTTTTTCAACGTGATCTTTGTTTTTAGAATCGGATTTACGAGTAGAAGGAGAAAATGATGAGAATCACAAAATTCCAGAATTTTGCAAAAAAAACCGTTACTTTGGGTTTTCCATATTAGAGTTGAGGATTAGTTTTGCTTGAGAAGGAATTAAACAATGAACCTTAATGCGTTGATCATCTGGAGTTGCGGGTTACGGTATCGTGCTAATAAGGGTAGATGCCCAAATGTCGCGAAATGATTGCGGAACCATACCGGTAGCATAGCGAGTTACAGCGCAATAACTCCGTACTTCATTGCTTTGAGCATCTCAACTCATGCTTACTAGTTACGCAAAAAGTAGTAAGAAGGAATAAAAGAGGTAGTAGCAGCAAACTTTCCGCCACTGAAGAGTTTGAAAGTTGAAATTTCAGGTTTCGCAGACGCATCTGATCCGCCTTCTGAACAAAGCGGAAATCCTATTTCGAGCTACGTTGTCGAGTACTCCGTACACTCCTTATCATTGTAAACCAGTCAGTAAATATCCTGTAAAGTTATCTCAAAATGGCTTCGGATGCGACAAGCGCAGGCGGAGATGGTACTCCAGTCGATGAATATATTAAGACAATGACACACAACTACGTCTCTCGCAAGGCCGACATCGAAGGAGCCAAAAGGGTAGAAATAAAGGGTCGGTCTATTTTACATGAGGGCGTCAAGGTTCGAGGGGACCTTCAGATAGTAAAAATTGGAAGATACTGCGAAATCGGGGCGTTGACATCTCTCGAGCCACCCGAAATTCCATTTCGAAAAGACAAGCGAGTGCCCATGATCATCGGAAGCCACACGCACATCGGAAAGGAATGCACCATTCAGGGGGCGGCCATTGGAAGCAGTAAGTCAGAGAACGACAGATGAATCAAAACTTGGTGGGCTAGATCTGCAACATGCGATTTTCATTTTTGTCCGTTMCTGACATATCATACTTGCACACACTTGGCGATGTTTCGCTGCTCTTAATCTGGATTTTGTTCCATTGCAATCCTCCGTTATTTTGACCTTCAAACTATAATTATCAGTGGTTTCGATTGGAGACAACGTGAAAATTGGCAAGCGATGTATCATCAAAGACAATTGCATCATAGAATCAAATGTTACCTTGGGAGACGATACGGTCATTCCACCATTTACATTAATATCGCAGAATAATCCTACTTTTTATCAGCAATTGCCACCAAGCGTGGCAGTTCAAACACAGGAAGTATCGTTGGACCGTTACTCAGAATTCAAACAAAAGCAGCGAGCGATACAATGACGTGATGGTGGTGAAGTAAACAATCTTGTTGAGAGACGGTAGAAGCAACTTTTGTTGCTTGAAAATCTACGAACATAGATTTAATACAAATGCCTAACTCCGTTCAATTATAGCGCCTCTGCTTCGAGTTTCCTCCGTTAGTGCTCGATTTGGACTTGCATTTATACTCAATATGTGGTCGCATTTCTCGTGCCCGTCCATCCCAGATGTTCACCAGAGTATTCCAAGAATTTATTATTTCATTTTTGCTCATGTCTTCCAAATCCTTAGACGCTCCTTTTACGTAATCTTCCAGAGAAAGCAAATCACGAGATTTCGTTGGTGTAGTCACCATTTTAGAACAAGCACTGAATGCAATCGCGAGCTGCAGTTTTGTTGGTACAAACTCAGAATAAGTAACTATGTCGCAGTCATTCTCATCAGAGTGAACGGAANTTAGTTTTGCTTGAGAAGGAATTAAACAATGAACCTTAATGCGTTGATCATCTGGAGTTGCGGGTTACGGTATCGTGCTAATAAGGGTAGATGCCGAAATGTCGCGAAATGATTGCGGAACCATACCGGTAGCATAGCGAGTTACAGCGCAATGGGTGATTCCCGTTATTATAGATGTGCTAAACTGGTAAATCTGGCATTTTTATTACTTTTGTAATAACGGGAATCAAATATTCAACGGACAGACTGAGAGCAAGCCGGACTTTATTGCAGTCTTTTTTGGAATCTGGAATCTTAACTATTCCTCCAACGTAAAGACTAAAAAGACTGAAACGCGCGCCATGGTTCAAAGTAAAACATGAAATTTTCGATACTCGCTCAGCAACAACTAGAGTAAGACATAAACTCATTTCCTACTTATTTTCAGTAGAAAATAAGTTGGAATGAATTTATGCGTTACGGGAGTTTCAACCACAGCAGTAGCTAGAGTAAAGCATGAACTCATTTTCTGCCTTCACTTTCAGTAGTAGGAAATGAATTCATGTTCTACGCTGCCTAACGACGACCCGACAAACACACAAAAAGACCACAGTTTCCTCCCAGCAACAAGAAAGGCAACATCGACCGACAATGGGATTAATGGAAGTGATCACCATGTACTGGTACCTCCAGTTGCAGTCTGAGGAAGAGCATCGGAGCTACAAAAGCAAACTGTCTCCAGAGGAGCGCCGAAGGAGGGACAGGAGAACGCCAAGGATTGCAATCAGGAGGTACTCGGCTTCCTCTTTCCTGTACATGTTCCACTCAGGGGATGACCAATCTCTCTTGAACTGCTGTGGTGTAGACCACAAGGTCTTCAGGGAGCTTGTTKACCTGTTTGCTCCAGTATGGAACAAGTACACAGTGAACAAGAACAATGAGATCGTGGAGGTTCCTTGTTACCCCAGTGGGAAGCCGAAGGGGAAGAAAAGGGAGGTTGATGCAGTCTGTGCAATAGGGCTTGTCCTYTACTGGTACAGGACAAGAGGATCTGTTGCAAGGGCGATGGCAATGGCCTTTGGCTTAACATCCACAGTGATGTATAAGTGGCTCAAGTTTTCACGGAGAGTGATGCTGGTTGCACTCCACAAACATCCTGAGGCCATGGTGAAAGTCCCATCAGAGGAAGAAGTCGATGCTTATGTTAAGGCAATTGGAGAAAAGTATCCAAGGCTTGAAGAAAACAGGGTCTGGGGTGCTGCAGATGGGCTCAAGAGCGTCCTAGCCCAGTCAGAGGACTGGTACAAACAAAAGGCGTATTACAATGCTTGGAAGGAAAACACATTCCTTAACAGTGTTTTTGCCTTTGCCCCGGATGGTAGGATCCGCATAGCAGTGTACAACTGCCCAGGAGCCTGGCATGACAGTGCAGTTGCTGACTATGGCGTGTATGAAAGAATTGAGAAGATCAACAAAACCTGTAGGGGAGCAAAGGTGGTTGTTGATTCCGCCTTTGCACTGAAGAAATACCAGGATAGCCTCATCAAGAGCTCACAGAGAGAGCCCAGCAACGCGAGTCTCCTCTTGTTGAATAGAGACGCCACATCCTTGAGACAGATGTCCGAGTGGGGGATGAGGATGATCCAGGGACAGTTTCCAAGGATTAAAGACAAAATGTTCCTTGAAGAGCTTGGAGACAGGAGGATCATCATGAACCTCCTCATCAACTTGTACAACTACCAGTGTAGTTACATAGGACACAACCAAATCCTATCGACCTTCATGAAGACACCAGCGGCCACGACTGCCGACAGTCCCTATGAGAAGGTTGCTCTTGCTGATGGCTACTTTCAAGTAGGTAGGCAGATCTCCCCGGATGGCAATGGAGTATTTCCTCGGTAAGGAAATCCCATGGTGAAGAAGAAATTGTTGTTAGTTTGAAATAAGAGGGATTGGTTTGAAACAAGAGAGATTAGTGCGAGTATTACGACAACGATCAACGACAATGATGTAAGGCACGGATCGATAGAACTCAATCGATACAACACAATCGATACAGCTGAACAGTGTCATAACAAACCCTTTTGTCGATAACTCGCCATGGCCATGGTCCCCTCCCTTATCACCATTGGAATTACTAGCTGTCGTTTAGTTTATTCCACGTACTCAGTTCAGTACGTGAAATAATGAATGATACTGTATTTGCTGTGAAATACTGTATTCGCAAAGAACAGCTTGCTGTATTTTGCTAGCAACAGCTTGCTGTATTTGCTTGCTTCCGTATTCCTCCTAGTACCAGATTCTACGGAGTTACAGTAGAACCCAGGTTTTCATGTATCGGAGACCGGTTTTCATGTACCGGAGACCGGTATCAGAAACGGGATTACAAAGAGGGTTCGCACTATCCAACGGATGTCATTGATCGGCATCCACATACATTCTAATCACCTCAATCCTCATAACCGAATGTTGATTTAAAACGCATTGCTGTGTCTTAGTTCAATCAATGTTCTTCATTGCAGTATATAAATGTAATCTAATCACGGCAAAGTTACAAAAGTATACATAAAAACCRCAAATGCTTAGGAACTGGTKGAAATAGTACCAGTTGTACAGTCGACGGAGTACGAGACAACAGGGAACTGTGGGGACTCCTTCAGCTACTGCTTTGCTCATTGTATTCATTTCTTTAGTATAGTATCGTGTAAGCATGTAGTTTAGTTTAATCAATGGTTAATGAATTACTGTTTGCTTGTCCTCACCATGGGATTCGTGGGTTTCCTGCTCTTCTTCACGTCGTTGTCTTTTGCGTGGAGGCATGGGCTGGGGCGTGGAAAGACCATCAGCTGCAGCTGTCGATGAAGGAGCTGTCGATGCAACAGAAGCGGGGGGAGGACCATAGTGGTAATGGTAAGGAGGAGGAGGACCATGGTAAGATTGTTGTTGTTGCTGCCAAGTAGTCATCATGCTAACCGCTGCTCCAAGAAATTTCTCTGCTACATCCTTCACTCCACTCCACATCTCAATGCTGCGTTCATCTCTTTTTTGCTCTCTTTTGTCATGGTTCTCGATGAATTGCGTGAACGCTGCTGCATCAGGGACCCTTGAATTCTTCTGTTGATATGCTCTCTTCTTGGCAGTAGCAGGGGTGTTTGATGGTCTTACAACAACTGAAGGCGTCAAGACAGAAGATCCGGCTACAGGAGGAGGAGCAGGCGTCTCGCTCCTGTTGGGGGGGGGGGTCTCCCCGACAACATCCACTCGGTCACCTTCYTCTCCAGGGTTCAATGGGTCTTGTTCCTCCACTTCAGCAAGAAGACTGTCGGGGACACCAGTTTTGGTTGGTAAACCCTCAACAGCCTCACTTTTAACATAGCCTTCCATCAGATCAAAGTCCTCCTCTCCAGTACCAAGATTTGCCCGTCGACCAATCAAGACAT